TAAGATAACTGTCACTTGAAATACTAGATGCAAATCTTGATGCAACAAATAGTTGTTCTTCCTCATTTTGATTTGTAACTTAAGCTTATCCTTCTTCTTGTTCTTGTTGTCTTCCTTTCTATTTGCAGTTGATCGCAGCATGGCCAAGTTTTTGATATTTTTGGCATCTCATATCCGGCTTTCTCCAGCATTTGAAGTGAGGATATCTTTCTTTCACAACTTTGACATGTGGAGAATTTTTCTCCTTTGTTGCTGCCTGGATTGTGGCTACTTCCATTACTAGTGGAAACCAGACTATTTTCTGCATAATTCTTCTTCCCTTTGATTTTCTTGTTATTTTTCAAGGATAGTTTTGCAACTTGTCCTGAAGTGCACCTTCTACCGACACTTCCTGTCTCATTAACCTTCTTTGCTCGTGTACCTAAAATGCATTTGCTAATCCTGCCAAAGTGAGATTTGATAGATCCTTGGTATTTTCTAAGTAAGAAATGGTTGGTTCAAACTTCTCAGGTAATGTAACAAGAAGATTGTCAATAACTCTGCTATCATGAAGCTTATTTCCCAACATTCTTACCTTTATCACAACGCTAACAAGCATGTCTGAGTCTTTCACAGTTTCAGAATATTTCTTTCTTTGTACCTCAAATTCTCTAATGATATTCATAACTTTCATACCTTTGATTCACTCATATCTTTGGTATTCTTCTTTTAAAATATCCCAAATTACTTTTGCTAATTCCAACGTCATGATTTAGGGAAATATTATAGGTGATAGTGTAGCATATAAGCAAGATTTCGCCTTGGATTTTCTTGTCTTTCTTTCCTTGTTAAGCTTGATCTGAGTCATTGTTGGATTGCTTGGTAAAACAGGAATTATGTAATCCTCCTTTACTGGTTCCCAGAGATTAGTTCTCTCCATAAAACATTGTTGGCGAAATAGCAGAAGAACCAGAAGAGTGTTTTGAATCCATGTGTTCTGATGGCTTTTCAAGGAAACAGGTAAAGACTTTGTTGATGGTCACCTCAGACTACACTCACAAGTCCCTTAATAAGAGGGTTTTGATATCAATTTTTTGGTGTTTACAGCTAAAGAAAAACATACGACAGAATACGAAAAAGAGAGATATTATATTAAGTTGAAAGAAGAAATGTTTAAATAGAAGGAACTCCTAACAATATGCAGTAGACAATACAGTAACCAAAAATAGAATCTTCCTAATAACTTGGCACTAAGTCTACCAACAACTCTATATCCTCTGAAAACAGAAACTACATCAGCAACCATGTCATCATGCCAACTCAACATCAATTAACAACTTATGAGGCAGATTTCAACAGAAATAAAGTCAGTGAACTCTTTTATCTCTATCTTGATTATACTTGTTTAAATTTAATATGATAACTTTTTTTTTTATAATTTCTACTACCATCACAAGAATTCACTCTTTATCTTTATCTTTATTTTGGTTAGTAAATTATCTATTATTTTTTGCCAGCCATTGTGTACTTAAAATGAGCATTTACTTAAGTGTAAAAACTCTCAAATGCAAAATTATCAAAAACAAACAGTCTCTCATTTAACAATTATCTAAATCATGTTTGATGATACATATTTCCTATTAAGTTCAAACAGGTAACGTACTCATTGTCCTTCAATTTGTGTAACAAATTTTTCTCTCTTAAATTCTTCTAGTTAACATGGTCTTATGGTACTTTTTTGTTTTATTAAACTTCAGGGTTCCAAATACGTGGAAGTACTGGTGGTAGAAGGATAGCAATGAAGTGTGTGAACTTGAGCACTAACACATTTCAGAAGGTGATTATATCTTAGGGTGCTTGCAATTGACAACAAGTTTCATATCAGTGGAGATTTTGAGCTATTGTTCAAGGAGCTCAAATGATTGTCTTGGAAAGAACATCCGTTGAAATTTATACTATCAAAATTTTCAGCTGAGAAACTTGTATTTTTGTCAGAATATAAATGGGAGTAATATCAAAGAATTTTGTTTGAATTTGTAGGTTCATTACTCAATTCTGCCATTTCACATGTTATGTTTTATTGCAACTAAGTAAAACAAAATCTTACTAGAAGTTATTTTGTTTACTTTTAGTATTGTAGAGGTTTGAAGAAGTTGGATCTCTATGATTGCAAAATCCTCAAAAGTATTCTAAACTTAAAGGGTTCACAAAGTCTCGAGACTTTGGTGCTTCAGAATTGCTCAAATTTGAAGGAGATCCATCCATCAACAGGAAAATTGGATAGACTAACTGGTCTATCTTTGTATTGTTGCAAAAAGGTTATGGATCTTCCAAGCAGCACATGCCAATTAAAATCCCTTGAATACTTGGACATTAGTTATTATTCATCTTTTCAAACATTGCTAGTTGACATGGGGATATCCAAAGTCTAAGGCATCTTCTTGCATATGATACCAGTATAAAACAATTACCTGTTGAAATGTTAAGAAGTCCAAACTTAGAATCCTTTCGATGAACGTTCCACATGATTATATTTATAGGGATATTGGGAGTTTATTAAATTTATTTCTTTAGACTTGAGCGGCAACAATTTTCTCTATCTACCCTTTGGTTTTTTGAAGTTACCATTGTGCATGTCCTTGTATTTGAATGATTTTGAGAATCTTCAAACACTGCAGTCAATATTGAATTTAGAGTATCTTGAAATTATTGAACATAGAAACTGCCAAAAATTGGTCAAGATTACAGTGTTGACAACCTTCCTTCAATTTAGAAGATCGACATGATTAATTGTACTTCTCTGCAGATTCCATTGGATGAAGGCTTTTTTAGTGCCCCTGCTTTATCAATTCCATCTAGGAAATATATGAGTATGAGGTTAGTCCTCTATCTCTCTCTCTCTCTCTCTCTCTCTCGTATCACATTATTAATTATCTAGTCGTAACATATCACAACTAGAAATAGTTAGGAGAAGCTAGAACTGGAAATAGCCATTTTTGGAAATAATAAAAAATCTAGAAATTTAGTTAAGTTAGAAAAAATGAGTTTTTGGTCAACTTCCACCGGTCATAACTCCTATCACAGGATGAGTTAGGTGTATTTCAAGATATGGTTGGAAATTTTTTGGAATGATCTTTTCAACACCTCTAAGTTTGCAGGATTTCGATTTCGTGTGAGTAAGTTATACCCTTTATAAGTTGGTCTGTTCGGTTAAAGAATCGGTTAATCTAGATTTTAGAAGGGTAGTTTGATCGTTTCCTAAACATCATGAGGCATTTCCTATCACAAATCATAATCCTTGAATCCATAATTCAATTCAAGAAGAGTTAAGGGTCAATTCAAAGTAAAGTCAAGATTCAAGTCAAGAAAAGTTTATCCAAGTTTTCAAAGATCTTTTTGTTTTAAGACTTAAAGTTCATGATGAGTTAAGCAAAGAGTTCAGATTTGAAGTTATTTCTTTAAAATTATATGGGGACTAAGTATTCCAGAAGTATTTAAAATATTTTCACATTTAAATAAGAATTGAAACTAAGATTTCCAAAGAGCCTTAGACAAGTTTTCAGAAAAGAGTAATCGCTTTCTAAATGAAGAAAGAGAGGAAACTTTGATTTCTAAGGTAGCGTTTGGGATAAGTTTTTGAGAACTAATCTCAATTAACATAAGGAAGTATGTTTTAAAATATAAGAGCTAATATTATATTATTCCTTGGAGTAGTGTTGAGCACCGATATAGGAAAGAGTTCAGACTTTTAAGATGAATTGTGTTGGTTCTGAAACAACCGACAAATGTATTTCACTAACTCATAATTTGAATTACAAAGGAATTTAAGAACTAAATGAGAAATTGAAGAATACAAGTAGAAGAAAGGGATGAGAAGCAAAACTCATATAACGGGGATGAGAGGGCTAAACATTTTCTCAACAATTTGCATAATCTCTAAATCACATATCACTATCCTTTTTGATGGAACCATTTCATTCCTACTACTTAACCCGGATCCCAAATTAACCTAATCCTATTGCTCATGCTCGTCCCAATACCTCTTGTCATACCAATAACGACTTGTATGTCATTAGTATCTACATTGGGCTAGACTTGATTCGATACTAAAATGGTATTGGAGCTATTGCAACATAGTTTGGTGTAAAATGGTGTTGTTTCACTGGACATACTTAGAACTTGACGTAATGCATAACCAACATGGTGATAAAGGAACACAATTTCTACCTGAATCTTAAGCATATTGTGGATAACATCATTAACTACAAGAAGAGGGATGGAATCCCAATCACTCACCGCTACAGAAAAGGAAACCAAGTAGCTTATTTTGTTGTTGCCTTTTTCATTCTAAGGACACAGGTAGTCACTAATACTAGTGTGCCTACTATACTCAAACATGGAGGAACAACAAAGTATAGATCATAGAGGAAAAACAAGTTGGTAAATAAGAGAATTTGAGGAGGAGACAGAGAATTGTCTGAAGTATGTCAATGCGGCTACAAGTGTGTTCCTTCAGATCCGATCTTTCCATCACCACCTGTAACTAAAGGTTGTCATTTCAGGTGTGGCCAAGAAAAAAAGTAAGCAAACAAGTACGAAGTGGTACTCAAAACAAAAACTCAACCTATATCTCAAGTAAATATATTGTTGGATGTTTAATTTTTGAGCCTTTTAGTGTTTTAGTCCTAATCCCAACAACTTGGCTAACGTCTGGGCTATCCGTGTTCACAACATATAATTCCATCCACACATGGATACAATATATATACTACTCCCACACTGGAAAAATCAGGAAGGCTCGACATTGTAACATGACAAAGAACAAAAAAATGATTAGAGAAAACCAAACAAATAAGAAGTCTCAATTAAGTGTATCAATGTAAAAGATAATTGTAGCAACACATGTCTCACGGTCTTGAGATTTTAGAAGTCACAAAGAAGGGAACACATCATCCTTCAAAACCATCAATAGTGTTCGTTTTGAAATCTTCAAAATAAACAAACAACATGAAATTAAACAATCACAAATAAAAGCAACCCAATGCTTCTTTTATTTTTAAAATTGTGGCGCTCAAAACGCCATGAACAGAAGCCACTACCTCCATTTTTTGCTGCCTGGAGGTTGGATTATTATCACCACAAATCATTATTTGAAATGTAACTGTCAAAATTGAACCATTTTGTGCATTTGCAGTGTTGTCCCTATTCGAGGAGAGCCGACCATCGGGACTTATGATGATACCAGAGGGAAAAATAGGAACTTTTGTTGCATCACCTCCATTGATAATTGAAGTGATCGCTCGCAAATCTATGGGTGCATAGACTAAAAATGCTCCCATTTCATCAATACTTGTCTCTTCAAGCACTAACATTTCCTTATGCATATTATTAGGCTGTATATGCATTACAATAATTAAGTAATATTAGAGTAAATACTATAAAAGAATAAGTGACATATAAGTTATGTTGCTAAACAATAAAAAATTCACAGCTAATCCTATTTAATAATGAATTAGTGAAGGATTATAAGCAATCTTGTTAGCTATAGGGCTATAGGTTATTTGACAACATATTTACAAGGAATTTCATAGCTAATACTTGTTCTTTTCGTAATGAAATATATTTAGAATTATCAGTTTATCTAAAAGATAGTTAAAGATAATTATAGGATCACCCAAAAAACCAAGTGAAATTATAAATATAGAAAATGAGACAAACAACAACTTGCTATAAATGGCTAAGCTATGATCAGTGTATATAAATTAAACGTGAGAAATTTAGTGTTTTTTTTTGCGTGCTTTAATTGTTAATTTACTACAAGTCAAAATGAAGTTAGATCCTAGAAAATTCTTTTTGATTCAATAATTAAAAAACAAAAAGTCTAAAGGAAAAAAAGATACAAGTTTTGAAATTTTGGTATTTTTGGATGTGAAAAAAGATAAATCCAGTCATAAGTTATATTATTTGATTCTTGAAAAATGTCACATTATTACATGATAATTTAAGAAGAAATAGCTAATTATAAATAAATAAATATGACAAATACCTGAATAATCCTAATGTTGTTTCCCGGAAAATTTCTTGTTAGTACTCGATCTAGATGAATCACATTATTTCCATCGGTCAAAATGTCTCACTGAAAAAAAAATCAAATAATAAACAGTATCCTAATTTAATTGACAAAAAAAAAACTTTGTGGGATGAGTATTATTTAAGATCACATATTTAAAACAATATATGTACAATCAATGACAAGACTAGCAAAACATGTATATAATATAATATGTAGGGGCTTGCAATCATAAAATCGACCAATAAATTGAATCGAAAAAGTGATATTGGTATATATATATATATATATGTAAAAAGAATTATCGGATTACTAGTTTGGTATTTATTTTTTAAATATTGGGTTATTAGGTAAATTGTTAACTCATTAAGAATATAGTAATTCACAACTTTACCATACATAAATATTATATATTAATCTTAATACAGTATTTATTGTTTTTGCCCTTTAGCCTTCCATTCATACTTCATAGTAACTTTGAGTTCATAATTTCAAATTATATAAAACGTCTACACCTAAAATAAGAATCTTAGTGCTCCTAATTTTTCTGTGTGTAACACTTGTATAATTTTTTTATGTTAGTTATTATTGTTTCTCTTTATCAGTATTTGTACAGTTACATTATTGTCTTATTTCATCAAATTATTGGAGAAAAGTCATATATTTTCTAATCATTTCTTATTGGTTAAACTGAAAATTGAAATGTTAAGAAACAAAATCGATTAAAAATATCTTACTGGTTTCATTTTTTGTTTATCATATTTAAAAACCAATAAACAGAACCTATAATACATCAAACTGAACCAAGATGACATATGCACACTCTAGTAACATGGGAACATAATATTAGCAAATCAATCAAATTCGGGACTTTAACTAAGTGGTTTAAAAATTTTAACACTGAACACATTCTATTTTAATGTTAAAATTATGATATTTATTAAAATAATTGAGAGTTTTACATAAAAATCTATACATCATTTGAAAAAAGTAAAATTCTATATGGATATTATTAGGGGTCATTCGGTTAACAAGTTATCCAAGGATTAAAATGTAGAACTTACTTCTTTTGTTAAATGTTTGTCTCATTGCATTAGAAATTGAATATCAATTCAAAGATATATACAATCATTCCTTTTTATGACAACCATTCCCTATAACAAAATTTCACTTATTATATACTTTAACAACAATATATTATTAGTCATCGCATCATGTTGAGCCTGTAGAGGGTAGAATATACACAAATCTTACCCTTATCTCTCGAACAAAGAGAGACTATATTTTAAATACCCTCAACCTATTCAATGTAGAATCAAAGTTTTATTTGGAAACAATATCAATATCATGTTATATTATTATGTTCTCTATAATAACATTTCTCTATAACCACTAAAAAAATTATCTGAACAATTGACATTATTATAAAGCGGTTTGGTACATACCTGATTTCTTGTCTTGTCATCTTTGAAGAAATTGAAGACATCTTGGAATGAAAGAGGAAGCAATAGAGAAGTAGTGGCAATGGAAATAAAGCCTTTTGGTTGGATAATTTCTTCATTATTTCTTATTGAAATCCTATCTCCACGGTTTAACTGTGATGAAATTAAAAAATCTCCATGGTTGTCTGTCATGCTTAGAATTTCAAAAAAACTCTTCACCATCCTTTGAGATAATTGTATCGTATTTTTCAGCCCTTCTGGATCATGAAACACTGAAAGTAAAATGAAATTCAAATATTACAATAACATATATATCTAGTATAATTCTACAAGTGACGTCTGCAAAGGGTGGTCAAATCTTGAGAAGGTAGATGATTTGTTGTTGATAGATCCTCATTCAAGTAAAGTATATCTAAATTCATCTATGAAAAACAAATACATAAGAGTATAAAGGAGACAACATACAATACTAAAGTAGAAATAAAATATTAAGAAAGTAATTATAACAATATTAATAAAGAAACAATATAAGGGTATGTTTTTGTTTTTTGATAAATAATTTTTTTAGGAAATTTATTTTTATTTTCAGATTTTGTTTTGAAATTACTAAATATAGTTTCTAGAAAAATAAACTTCTATTGAAGATTGATAAAAAATATTAACATATCATAAAGTAATTTGATGATATTTTTACATGTTAAAAGTAATAATAATATATGAGTATGGTTAAAGCATTGATATAATACTTAAAGTTTAGATGATTGTAATTGAAAATGACTTTACACGGAAAATGAGAGACATGGTCATTTTTCCTGCTCCTTTGGTTGGAAAAATTTTCTTTATAAATTAGTTTTTGGCCAATAAATAAACAACAAAAGATAAATAAATTTTTGAAAGTTTAATCATACCAAACACACCCCTAATGGAAATACGAAAAGTTTGAAAAAGAGATATTTCAAATTAAAAATTGAGAAAATTGTAAAGAAAAATGACTTCTGAAATAAAAAGAGTTATCAATTTCCGAGCCCATTAAAACAAAAAAAAATCACCGTCGAACGCGGTTAAAATACGTATTATATATATACTTCAAATATTTTAAAACTTTTAAAAGGTCATATTTCAAACATATAAACAAAGAAAAGAGATGGACTTGGACCCCTTTCAAGATTTTTAAATTTTTAACTAAAGCTGCCTTGAAGTGATGAAAAATTTACAATTGATTGTTTTCTCACCTTACAAATTAAAATTCAAAAAAGTAGTAAATAATAAAGGGAAATTAAAACCAAACGTCCTTTGAAATCATGCCTAGTAGGGCATGTTGAATCCATTTGAAAATTAAATCTCTCATACATCCTTTGAAGTGTAACAATCCATCTTTTAGCTCCGTATGCTTCACGATCACACAACAAATCTCTAAAGATATGATTAACCTGATATTTTTCATACACTTGAACATGTTCCACCCAAGTAACCTGCAAGAGCAAAAATAATCAAGAAACCATAATAAAAAATAATTAACTTGTCGAAAAATAATGAGGAAAGCGTGTTAGAAATTTGTGTTTTTTTAGCAATGAATTTCATAAGGCAAGAATTGATAAGAACCATATGAGGAGAAAGAATAATCCTTGCTCTTTTGGATTCAAACATCTGGGACATGAACAACAATGTATAGGCCGGAGTTCAACATAGTTAAATGAAGACTAGCAACTCTGATAGCATGTTAATTGATGGTTATTGAATCAAACTCAATAATAAAACTTATTAGGTTGTGGAGGATTTTCCAAAGTTATACACATATGGAAAGAATATTTTCTAAAACAATACGGGGACACTTAAATAGACCCCCATGCACGTCTCAAAACTGATTATTTGGAGAATAAATTAACAACATAACACGACGACCAAAAGTTGGATAAATCGAGAATATAGTTTGACTCTCATATCATATTAGAAACAATAAACATCGTAATAGGCATCAGTACGAGTAAATTTTTACCCATGTAATATACCCTTAAAAATAAGCTACATATAAATAGTGATATGTATGTTACCCGTTTGACTTATTGAATAAGGCTGCAATACTGAAAAAACTGTATTATATAGCTAGAAAGAAAAACTCTCTATGATCCAATGGGTGCATCAGTACGAGTAAATTTTTACCCATGCAATATACCGTTAAAAATAAGCTACATATAAATAGTGATATGTATGTTACACGTTTGACTTGTATAATAAGGCTGCAATACTGAAAAAACTGTAAAATATAGCTAGAAAGAAAGACTCTCTATGATCCAATGTGTGCATACTTATTTCATAAAGAATATGGGGATTGAAATTGTAACTTTACCTACTGATGCTTCATGGGTAGTGCGAAAGTTTTTGAGTACAAGAGATATGATAATCCCAAGGCAAGATGGGCAGGGTGAGTTGATGGACTTTGCAAAGGCACAGAATGGTGGGAACTTTTCTACCAAGAAGATGAATAACTATATCATGCTTACTTTTCTAGAATAGAATGGAATAGTATTACTTTGCAACGAGGATTACATCCAAGATTCAAATTTATCTTGTGGCTAGTTGTGCAGAAAAGATTAGCAATTGTTGAAAGACTTGAAAAGTTTGGTATTCAGGTGTCATCTGAATGTGTGTTATGTAGTAACATAAAGAAAACCCTTAAACATATTTATTTTGATTTCCAAGTGACAAAGACATTATGGGAAAGAATGTGCAACTAGATGGGAATCAAAGAAGTATTCACGATTGGATCAAGACTCATGTTTTTGTGAGGATTGCATATATCATTTAGAGAAAAAAGAAATAAGATTAGCTTCTATCCAGGAAGACTATATGCTGACAAGGTCTCTAGAGAGATTGTATTGCATATTCATCTAAGAGGACAACACAAGGCAAGATGGAAATCTACTCTACAAACACTATATAAGTATCTTAGAGTAGCATTTCCTTTTTAATAGATTAGTTTCTTTATTTGTTTTCCGTATGATTAGGAAGTTAGATGGTTAGAAAGAGAAGTTGTTATAGGTTTTTCTATGTAATGATATTTTTTTCGTTATGCATGAAAATCCTTGTGATAAAAAAATCAAAAAAAAATTTCAAGAACAAATGCAGGATAAGACTACATACAATTAACCAAGTAATATGGACCATGTGTATAGAGGGAAGTTAATTCAGATAATTTTCCTATTATATAAATATTGATATAGAGAGAGGAGATGATTCTTACCTTACTTTGGCCATTGCCCATATCTTGAATTGCACAATTAGATGGGAACTTCCAAGACTAACAAGGTACACCACTATGAATGTCATTGAATATATCATATGAAATATCCACCATAATCCATGTTGCATCAAGTTGTCTACAACAACGTACGAAGAAAAATTCTCTAGCTTCAACTAGAGGAGATAAAATATGCATCTTTTCATACATTTGAATTCAACAATCAATTTTTTTATCATTTTATAAGTCAATTTCAATATTGATTTAATTTCTAGGGGAAAAAAATCTAAAAGATGGATTAATATTTTACCAATTGCATAGAGCCTTCCCAAGTACCAGACTCAAGAACTTCAATAGTCTTAGCTTTTGTGACAATAGTAGGAAACAAGTTCATCCATTTGACCTACATATAAAAAACAATCATTTTAAGCATATGAATAATTATTAAACAATAAGAATGACAACTATGTCTAAAAATAAGTACTCATTGTCCATGTCCATCACTCCATATAAACTCATCTTAATCAATATTTTACAGGAGAGAATTAAAAATAAAATGGTATCAACCTTTTGAGAAATATCTAATTTTTGGATTTCTTGACATTGTGTTAGATTTCAAAAAATCATGACAGTATCTTAGATCTCTCACTTGCTCAAGTTCGAAATCCATGATATTGGCATGGTATGTTTCCACATCAGAAGTGGTAAGTTTCCAACGAACTCTCAAATACTGGCTACTTTTTAAAAATCAACTAGCACGCCAAATCTTTAATATACAAAGCATATATATATATATATATATATATATATATATATATATATATATATATATATATATATATATATATATATATCATGAAAGTGTTCATGAAACTTACTGGATCAAGAAAATTATGGATCAACTCCATTGCAGTCATTGACACAATTCCACAATCCTTTGATGATTCAATTCGTCCGGTTGATGTTTGGTAAGGTAGAACTTGATTTGAAAATTTTCTTCCATAAATATCACGATGAATAAAACACCTCCTATCACTTGATGAATCTATCCAAAATGTATCATTCATTTTCCAAAGTTCAACCATTTCATTCATAGAAGCAACAACAGTCTCAAACATAATTGTTTGTTGCCTACTGTCATGATGGCATTCATCATGTTCTTGCGGTGATGGAGTCATTATTGAATGTGCAGGAACATTATTTTTATTATGATTGTTTTCTTGACAAAGAGAAGAATATCTAATGGGAGAGCCACACATGTCTTGGTTCAATAAATATCCATCAGATGAATTTGAAGATGATCCAAGAGTCGATTTTTTGTGGTGCCAAATTTGAATCCATCACAAAAGGCCTTCCAACAACACGTGAGATGAGATTTGATACTTTTTCATCTTGTAAAAATAAATTGTTACGTTAATTTACTTACAATAATAGGTACATATCTAAATAAACATGATTTAAGAATCTAAAAAGGATAATAAGTGTATAATTTTCTATTAGTGTATATAATTTAAATTGTTTCAATCAATTAATTGATGTGAGATCAAGATGGTCTCTCTTGTCAAGGGAGGGTGCAACTCATAAGCACGGGCAGAAATAAATACAAGATATAATTTAACACATTTAACACTCGTGTAAATCTCATTAAAAAGATGAATCTTATCCATACCATCACAACCCTTGTTAGTATGATTCTAACGCTTAATTGTTGTATTTATAAAATTATGGTTCCAGACATAATATTTATTTGAATTTTAGTATACTTTACATGTATCTATGCCTCATGTAAAAAATATGAGATTTAAATGAAATCGGTGCTTATGATCTACATCCACCTCAATGTATATCTTAAGTTGTTGTATAGAATATATATATATATATATATATATATATATAATAAAAGGTTTGAATATTTGTTCTGTCAACCATTGATTTTTCGTTTTGATATTTTCTAAAATACGTTCTGTTTTTTCTTTTCCAATGGGAAGTCCATCACATTTTGGACACATAATATTCTTCATTGCCTCTTTCATTGCCTTATATTCACAAAGAAATCTTTCTTTTTATTTTCGAAGAGCATTGTTAATGGAATTCTCAATTTGAGTCAGATAAATAAATATATAACAAAAATTAATCACATATGGAATAAAAATACAAACTTAATATAACATATAGGTAATTAAATAATTGTACAATTAATTATTATGTTATATTTTTGAATATTCACAAATAAAGGATCAATAGTGCACATTCCAATAAATTAAATATTTATGTATTGAGCAGGATATCTTTAGTATCAAAATTAGAATATCATAATAATTGAAGGACCAAAATGCTACGTAGCCTTTTTATAATGCTTGAAAAATATTTTTTCCATCCATCTTTGCTTAAAAATTTAAAATCCCATTCGAATTTGAACCACATACACATTCTTCCTCGTATAAGAAATATATTTTAATTTTTTTTACAAGAGCACTAGTTAGTCCACACGACATAACTACAAATTCGTAATGACCATACCGAGTTTTGAAGGCTTTTTTCGGTATGTCACTATCTCTGACTATAAGTTGATAATAACCCAACCGGAGATCTATCTTTAAGAAGTGACTAGCACCCTAAAGTTTGTCAAAAAGGTCATCAATCCTGGGATGGGATACTTATTCTTGATTGTGACCTTGTTTAACTGTCTATAGTCAATGCACATTCTGAGAAAATCATCTTTCTTCCTTACGAACAACAGTGACGCACCCCATTGTGAAATATTAGCTCTGATGAAGCCCTTATCCAAAAAGTCTTTCAACTGATCTTTGAATTCATTAATATCTGCTGGAGCCATTCTTTAAAGAGGAATAGAATTAGGTTGGGTATCTTGAAGGAGATCAATTACAAAGTCGATTTCTCTTTCGGGAGGGACTTCGGGAAGATCTTCAAGAAATACTTCTGCAAACTCATAGACTACTGTAACTAACTCAAGAGTTGGGCTTTCAGATCTGAATCATTAACTCAAACTAGATAATAGATATAGCCCTTGGATATTGTCTTTCTGGCCTTAAGGTACAACACGTATCGACCTATTATTGCTAAACTATTAACCTTCCATTCTAAGATTGGTTCATCTAGAAATTGAAAACTAATAATCCTAGTTCTAAAATCTACTGAGGCATAAGAGGAATGCAACCAATCCATGCCTAGAATGACATCGAAGTCTACCATTTCTAAATCTAGCAGATTTGGTGAGGTGACTTTTCTGAGATACTGTGACAGGAAAATTTCTGTATACCCGTCTAGCTATAACTGGGTCACCAACTAGAGTAGAGACTGAGAAACGTTCTGAGAGAGTTTATGGACTAACACTAAATTGGACAGCTATGTAAGGAGTTACTAAAAAAGGAGTATCCCCTAGATTTAACAATGCATAAACATCTAGGTCAAATACTCGTAACGTACTAGTGACTACATCACGAGAACCTTCCTGATCTTGGTGAGCCTGAAGATTAGACAACCTGTTCTGGCACTAACTACCACCAATACAAGTGACTTACCCTGATGAGTTGGGCGACTTGTTGGTGCTTCTAAAGTTGTAGAATAAGCTCTATCATTTCCGCCTCCTTGACCCTATCTAGAAGGACAATCTCTAAACCGGTGACAAGACTGATCGCACCCAAAACATCCCTCTTTTCAGTCAAGACACTTGTCAGATGGTTTTTACCAACTTGCAACCTTACAAACTTCAGCATATTCATCCTAACAAAATTGCAAACTCTGGCTACCACTAATCAGTCATTTCTATTAGTAGGAACTAAAACATGCTGATTGTTCTAGTTGGTCATACTCTGAGCCAAAAGCTGAATTGGCACTCTGAAACTCTGCATTTGAACTTCCTTTTCTGGTACTAGAGGAACTCCGTTAGCATTACGTACATTATAATGGAATAAGATCATATTTTACGCATGATAAGAGTAACACAAAAGTGAAGTTTTTCCTAAAACACTTCATAGTCTCCCTCTCATTCGATGTGGTGCATTTCAAACACATGAAAAGGACTCTAATTAGTGCCACTTTTCAAACATCCTAGGACTATTGAACCTAGTGCTCTGATACCAAGTTTTGTCACACCCCGAGCTACCCCCGAGACGCGGACTCAGAACCTAGGACCACAAATGATCCCAAGCTAACCCTGCTGGCATGATCAAGAGCATACTAAAGATAATAAACTATTGTGGAAGCTAAATCAAAATTTAAACATAAAAGACAGGGAATACCCATATTCTATAACTAAGATATTTGAAAACAATGAGTTTAATACAAATGAAATATTAACTCAATACTATGCTGAAACTAACAATGTCTGAAAATAACCTCTAAAATTAACTAGAAGTACTAGGACAAGCCCCAGCTAAATCTAGCAAAAACTAAAACTAAAATATTAATTATTGAAAAGAAACTCATGCTATTATCCTCGGAGAATGAGGGCTCACCACTGAATCTGCTGAACTGAAGATCGGAAATCGATCTATGCATGATCTGGGTGCTGAGAACCTGAACCTACATCACGAGAAGATGTAGGCCACGTATGCATCAATACTTTAAAGGTACTAAGAATATAGGATAGAATAAAGACAAAAAAACGTAAATGAACAAGCACAAAAGTAAGTATAATAATATGAACAAATAATATAGAGAATTTTGAGCTAACTAAATGCAATGACCAATTTATAACATGCTGAAATTGAATATTGAGTATACAAATAAATGGTCAATCCAAATAGTCTATCTGAACTCTGGGAGCTACTAATAACCGATAATAAAACCACATGAGATAAATGTGGAGTTTGCTGTATACGCCCCATTGGGAGGAGCCAATGTACCCTGCCAAAGGTATAAAGGCATGCTGGCGTGATCACTAAACTAATTGCCCACAGAGAGAACTTACAACCTACTAAGGTAGTATTTCTGGGTCTAATTGGGTACACTGAACCCTATTCTAACTCGGTATTATGCTACTCTCATTGATTTATGTAGTTAACTTATTATGTCTGAATTTTCTATAGTTATTGGATAACTCAAATCTGAACATGCAAACTGATAATGCAACATTTAATATGATATGAATGCATTAAAAATGGAGGCATGTATAACTAATTAGCTGAATATCTGATATAGCATGTGTAATTAAAGAACTAAATAAATACAAAGCTAGGGTTCTGAAACTCATGAAATAATCTAAGGAATAACATGATAATCTGATTTGGAACATATAACTAATATATTCATGAAGTTCTGTTGGAGTTCTAGAAACCCCAGGTCTAATAATGATATAAGAGACAAGAATCTGACTCAAAAATTAGGGACCCAATGGGTAAAAGTAACCCACTAGATAAATCCCACATACCTAGTGATGAAATTCACAGAGAAACACTTAGATTTAAAGGCTGGAACTGCTAGAACCTTGATGCATTCTTTAATTAGGGTTCTTGACCTTTTTCTCCTCTCTTTCTTCTAATTTTCTATGTTTTGATTAATGATTTAACTTAGGGTAAGTTTTAATTATGTTTCTGGGCTTAAATTGACTAAAATCTAATGATTTAGGGTCAAAAAGATGTATCTTAGGGTTTAACAAAGGGGAAAAGACCAAAAGACCCCTGTGTTAATTGCTGTCGGACTAAACGACAACCTGGACAGACAGTCCGTCGTTTGGTCCGTATGTTGGGGCTGTTCGACAGGCCTTTAATAAAATGGTCATAACGTTTTACTCGGAGGTCTGATTTTAGCAAAGTTGGTGAATATTGAAAGCTAATTCAATTATCTATATTTTGGAAGGTCATGGTACACCTAATTCATTTTTTTTCTAAGAGTTATGATCAATTAAAGTTGATCCAACTGCATTTTCCCCCTAACTATCTGCTATTTCTCACCTATGGTCAAACCTACGGAATGTAGGTCCATTTACGAACCGTGTTGGTCAATCGTGGTTCTTGTTAGAGAGTGGGTGAATGGGGTGTTGATCGACAGACTCATACTACAGATTTTAGTTTGACCTACAAACCGTAAGTTCATCCGTTGTTCGACACGTCGTCAAATTTTTTACATTGAGATTTTGGGTGGTTTATCATCCTATCGAAGGATATGAAGGACGGACCTTAGTTAAGGCTACGGTCCGTCGATGGCCACCGTCTGT